CACCTGATGATCTCAACCACAAGTTGAAGACCATTGCTCTAAAGCAGCACCACACATGTTGCTTAGTAGTCCTAAAAGTACTTCCTCATACTGCAATGAGAAGGAGAAGCTTGAGGATTATCTAATTAGGCCCTGGAAAGTTGATTCTCATCCTGTATCTTTTAATTATATCAATGCCATAATGATAAAATGGCGTAATTCGTGAGGGAAATGTATAAGGTAACTGAAAGCTTTAGCAAACTGCAGATGCGGCTGTCAGAGAAAAACAGCTTTGAGAGAATGCTATCCAAGATAAAGCTTTCCAGTTAACACCACACAAACACACATATGCTTCCATTAATCATGTCTCTCTTGTCATTTAACCCTTACACTTAAACAGGAAGGGGCTCACCAAATTGGGGCCTCCAGCCATAAGCGCCTGATAACATTCAATTTCTCCTCTTGCCACCAAGGCCTGTTTTCTTAAACAAATACCTCACTGCCATTTACAACTGTTAAATATTCATTTTTCACCCTTTTAAGAAGTTCTTGAAATCTGGCCACTGACCCTTTGAGTTCATTAGCTTTCACTAACCACATCTAATTTTTCATTCATTTCAAAAATAAAACCACATCTTACAGTCAAAGTAAATTCTCCACCTTTCAAATCAGGCAGCCATTTTCCAAAATGAAATAAAAGCAAATTACCACCCCTACTCCCATTCCCACAGAAAATTCATGTTAACAAGCTTGCTGGCAAATTATTAAGGAAGTCACTTTCCTAAAACTGCTTGGTATGAGCCGTTTTTTAAAAATTCTATTTTATTTTATTTGTTGTTGAACCACAGATTACACAGTGCACCTTATTCCTCATCGAAACAACATTGCATTTGCATCAAACCCATTATCAATGTGTTCTGTTGCTTGGATACTGTAAATGGAAAGCCTAATGCATTTTTTCCCCAGTGGACATTTAAATTGCAGAAGGCAATCAAAGAGTTGAGTACAGCATATGTATAAACAAAAGTGGGGCTTTTTGGGGGGTCCTCTTTTGGTTCTCCAAAAATAAGTTGTAGTGACCTACCTCAGATGAGATTCTGTTTGGAAGTGCCAGGCTATTTGTATACATATTTAAGGGCAATCAGCCAACCAGAGAAATTCCAGTAGATTACGTTTATAGACTGACTAAATCTGCATGTATCTGCATATAAAACCCAGCCATTCTAAGAAAAATATGCTGTTTTACAAAAGACATTATCTACATGAAGCAACCCCCTCTTCTCTCACACACAGAGAGGAAAGCTTCCTAAAGCAGCTTTTGCCACGTGACGTTTGCAGAAATATTAGAAGAAATACATTTATTTCAATGGGCTTCTGTCTCAATGTTTCACTAATGGAAGGGGGGCTATATTCATCAATTACCTCCGTCCCACTGCAGATCCCCAAATTGCCTCTTGCTGCTCCCAGGACCAGCATTTCAGGAAGCATTTGGAGCTGCAGTAGGAAGGGGGAAGGTGAGAGAATATTGTTCTGCTGATGGAAGCACCTTCTGTTAGTGGAGACTGAGTGAATCTCTTGATTTGATCAGTCTCTGTTGTTCAGTTTTAATTCTATTAGATTTTATTGTTACATTTGTAGTTTTAGGATGGAAGCCTGTTTCAAGGAAATAGAATTCAGAGGGGGCGTTCACACGCACAAGATAAAGCGGGGGGGAAGTGAGGCTATTTCCTCCAGAGGAATTTGACCCGCAGTTGCACAATCACACAGTCCTTGGAAACTGCGGGCACAGCCCACCGCTGCGTGATTAGACACAACCACAGGTGAGTCGGGGTGTGTGTGTGTGTTTGCTGTTTATTTCTGATGCACTTAAATGAGGAATTGATGAATCGCATCTCCGCACCGAGGGCTCCCTATGGAGTTTGCGATGATACGCATACTGAGATAGGGGAAAAAACAACGGCATGGAGTTGGGATGGCCTGATCAGACCACCCTGATGCCATGAGAGTGCAGTGGAGTGATCAGACACAGGAAACTCCATCCGTGGCCCATCACAACCCACTGACTACCAGATTTTCCCTGGTATCTTTTTACTCTGCTTCTGCAGCGGAGCAAAACGGGTTGCCGACGGTGCGGGGCGCTTCCCAGATGTTCGTGTCTGATCGCGCCCTTTAAATCTGCCCAGCATTCACACCTATGGCAGGGATAATTGTGCGTGTGATTGTACCCAGAGAATATGTGTGTGTGTGTTGTATATATTCATTTATATATAGGCACACACACAAATAAATACGATTTGCATTTATGTAGCCAATTAAAACTGACTAGAGGTTGCAGCGCAATACACACACAGAATTATTCAAGAGGGCTTTTCTGCATAGGTAACAGAGTTGTACTGCAACAAAATGGGTAAATGGTTAGGGACTGTGTTCTGTACTACTGTGTGTAGCTTGTACTGCCTGTTGCTATAAGTAGCATCCTATTACATAATTTTTGCATTTGACGTATCACGTTAATACTTTTGCTTTGCTTCAGTTCTGTTTTCAGATTTCTGGTTGGTTCCAGATTTCTACAACCCAAATCTTATTGCATTGTTTAGTGTACATCTAACTCTGTAGATTGTATTGACTTGTTCTGGGTCATCTGCCTTGACTCCCCATGAGAAGGGCAGACTATATAAATAATATAAATAAATTACAACGTCCACACAAATGCCAATGCCCACCTGTTCCCATGCAAAAACGTGCTGATTGAAGTAGAACTGGATCTGCTCGTTGGCAATGTTGATGCAGAGCTGCTCAAAAGAATTTTTCTTGAAGTTTTCAAACCCAAAGATATCAAGAATCCCAATGTTCAGTCCCTCATCACTTCCACTGAAAAGGCACAACACATATATTATGTTTCTCCCATAGTTATTTCACATCAGTTTCAACATCACAGCTTTTTCAACAATACCCCTAATGCTCTTGGGCTAAACCCCCTGGGATGACATCAGGAAAGGCCTGCGAATGTTCTGCCCCAGTTTGGGAGAATGACAGCTTCTAATATGTTATTCTGTAAAGGGAGTTACTTAGAGGCTGAAAGAATAACTGCAGGGACCCGGTCTGTCAGTGAAATGGTTCCAGGATATGTTGCCCTTGCTCCTGGGCAATGTATTCATATAACACAAAATATTTGCATATTAATTTGAATTCCAATTTGATAATTTGAATTGCAAATCTGATTTTACACATACACATTGCCTCACAGAAACTAACCCTGAGTGAATCAGGGACAAATGACTCCTATGTTGCAGGACTGGCCTTGTCCTAGGATGCAAAGGCAGACTTGTGATAGAAAGGTCTGAACAGAAATTAAGCCAATGTGTTCTACTGCCCAGTTCAAAATGGAAGGATGATGAAGCCGTAACTGTTTTATGTCAAATGTTACTTTCCTGAGGTGGAAAGACGTTCCACAGAACGTATGTTTAAATGCAATTATTCATACCCTGCTTTTTTTTTAAACATAGCCGAAAGAGCAGAAGTTTACTTCCCCAATGGATCTGTACAGGATTTGCCAGCCATACTCCATGTGTCCAGATTACAGTCTTTGAAATATGCTTGAAGTATTTTACAAGCAGAGTAAACTAGGGCATAGCAGGTCACTACCTGGGCCATTCAACACACACACACACACACACACATTCCTTTAGTATATTTGCATATCATCTTTCTTCCACTATTGAATGCAATGTAGCATAGGGGTTCCAAGGTCATCTCCCATCCAAATATTGACCAGACCCAATGTGCTGAACTGAGCCAGCACAGGTACTGAACACTGGCATTATTTAAAAATCTAGCCTTGCTCTTCACCGCCCTACAGTTTTAAGCCACCTTGACTTCCTTGAAGGCATATAAGTAATGGAGCCAACAATATCAATGCAATTAATGTATCCAATATGCCACAAATGTGTGCTTCAGTGGGGCTGTATTAGGGCCAAATTAGAGGATATTGACACCATTTTTGAGCCTTTAAAAAACTTTAAAAATTACTGCAGGGGGCTGATCTTGTCCGGGACAGTCATTTCAACTCTTGAAAAGTGCACAGGGATGGGGACAGAAGCCCCTCATCCCCCTGTGCTGCAGTCCCTGGCAGAACTGGGCCCCTGCAGTAATTTTTAAAATAAAAAGGCTTTAAAATGGCACCACTTCCTTGTGATGGACTCATGGATGTGGTATCATCTAGTTTGGTCCTCAGTGTCTGATTGAGACATCTACTCAGGGTGCAATGATGTATTCATGGTGGACCAACATGAGTGCCCCACTTCCACTTCCACCCCAAAAGAAGATAATGGGTCAGATCCAGAATGGCAGAATGGAACTCTCCTGCCTCCCCCTCCTCCTGTGACCCAGTGATCACTGTGAAATACTTTTCTTCTGTTTGTATTGTTTCCTAGTTCCTATAATCCTCCTGGTCCTTCCAAACAGTTACTGGATGTCTTGTGCTTCCTGATTGAACTGTTTTGTATATTTCGCAACCTTTGGGAAAGGAGAGCTTTCTTTGTAAGAAAGGAGGGCTACAAATGAAGTAAATAAATAAGAAGCATAGCCACTATGTCAGTGCCATTGGACTACAGTATTCACCAAAAAACCACAACAATGAACTAATCGTTCAGTCTTTTCCCACAGGGTTGCTTTATCACCACAGTATTTAGATGGGAAAAGCTTCATATTGGGTTTGGGAATTGTTTGGTCTATTCCACTGAAAGTTCAAGTCCTAAGATTCAGGATGCATTTCACATCACCAGCACAGAGCCACCTCCTGTCCCTTCTCTTGATGGCAATAATAGTGCATTCCTAAACAGAGTTATACTCTCCTGTTTTCTCCACTGTGGCTTGGGTCTTGTGGTAGATCCTCCCACCAGGTTGTTCCTGCTAAACAAGGGGCACATACTTAAGATCACACACCACTTAACTGAAAGTTGAGCAGGAACTAACACAGGAACTCTGCACCTGGCTTCAAAAATCATTTTAAATATTCATAATCCACTGCAAGGGTTTTCCCATTATGACACCTGTGTTATGGAATATACTTCCTAAAGAGATGAGGTAGGCAATGTGACTTAACTTGGTTTAAGGAGGCAGTTCCGTTACTAGAGGTCACATCAGATTGCTGGATCATGCTACTTCAAAAAACAAACAAACCCTTAGAACGATAACTGGAATAGAAAGATTCAGAACTGGAACTGATGGGCAGATTTCCATAATGTTCTTCAATGTATGAATGGGAGGTTGTTACATTCATTTGACTGTGTATAATATTTACAACTTTACTGTGCCAGTAACTCAAGTTACAATTAGTTTTTGTTGTCTGTTTGTTGTGTTCAAAATTGCTGGGAGAAAGGTGAGCCTACAAATATTTTAAAGATATAAATAAATCACAACCAGATTTCTCCTGTACAGCAAAAACCTTACTTTAGACATGTATCTGGCTTGAGCAGTGCGTTGATACGGTTGACTATCCAACTAAAGAGACGCCCATAGAGTGCTTTGGCTGTGGCATCCCTTACGTCTGTTGCCTTTTCCATCGTATTGGGGCGTATGATGGTTTCCCCTCGGGCCACCACACAATGCGAGGTGAGAGCTTCTTGCAATTCATCTGCCTGAATGCACAGCAAGGAAGCAGCTGGAGAACAAAGAAATGACACTGTGTTCAGATCTCACTCCAGTTCTTCAAGGAAAGAAACAATTCCTACGGACAAGGCTTCATAAGGTTGCCCTATACTTCAACAGTGTGGGTCAGGGTAAACAAAATCAGGGACAGAAATAGTAATTCTGTTCTTAGTTCCTACTTGTGCTTACACTATATACTGCAGCAAGAGGAAGTTCTCTAACTGGCCATAGAATGTGCAGACAGAAATTTACTTATGAACTATGTGACCTACACTTATAGGATTACCAGATTGAAATTCAAAGGCATGAGGCACCATGCAGTTCTAGAACGGGTATGCCATCCAGTTCTAGAAGTGTCTAAGATGTTCTGAAATATAATCCTTATTACAGTGGGATAACTATTCATGAAAAATGGTCCCCCTACCAGTGCAGATGCTGTTGGCGGAATAAGAAACAAAGCAGAATAAGGTTTTTTAAATCTACTGATTTAGAAAATTTATATGCTGCCTCTACAGACAACCTGCTTAAGACAACTTAAAGTAAAACATAATAAAATAATAAATCATAAAAATAAGGGTGGTTTTTTTAAAGGAAAACCCCAGCCACAGCATAAAAACAGCATATTGTTTGCATCCTACAATGATCCTTGTACATGATCCAGGCAGGATTGCCAACAACTGGATTAGACGGCTTTTTGGTAGCTAGAAGATGCTGCCGCCTGTTGTCAGAAGACCATCTGATGCTTAGAAGCAGCTTCTTTACTAAAGTTGCTGGTACCACTTGCCCAACCCTATTCATGTGAGGGGGATTACAACAAATGCACAGTAAGAGTCTATAAACTTTCAAACTGCCACAGGTACCCTAAGTATTCTTATTTTTGGGAGCTACACCAGGGCATATGACTCAAGCAACAATCACAACTACATCAGACATTTTTATGACCACACACTGAGCTTCAATGATTCCCCCGGTTCTAACAACACCCAACGGCGCCCCATGAGCTACACAGCAGCAGATGAAAGGTCAGAGCGACATGTCACCTGTGTGCTAACAAGGTGAGCACAGTCAAGTAAGAGCATGACTCACATATTTCCCAGTATTTGTGAGATCCCCCCTTTTTGCAAGTTAATGAGTTAGGACAGCTTAAAACGTTTAAGGGGGGGAGATTCAAAACTTTGCCTTATTATTCAAATATGCACTTTGTTAATGTAACCATAACTCTGTGGACACAGATATATTCTTTTCAGACTATTTTGCATTTCTTTTATGCAATGCTTATCACAGTTTCCCACTCTAGCAAATCTAGAGTGGTTTACAATAAAAGATACATAATCCTGAATAAAATGCCCTGAAATGATCATAGAAAAAAATACTTCATACAATATCAATGATGTGTCCATTGTTATTCCAACAAAACTGATTGGGACCATATGACAGACTTCCTCTAAAAGTGTGCTGAAGCAGGAAAGGCTGGCAATACAATCCTCCTTATGCCTATTTAGAAGTAAGCCCCTTTGAATTCTATGTACTTTAGTAAATGTACACAGGATTACCTTCTTGAGCTCCAGCCACTCATTACATGAGAGATGCCAGCACATGTTGCATGCATACACATATGTGTTTTGGGTATGGTCATGATGCTCTGTGAACAGGAAGTGCAGATGGAGGAGTAAATCTGTGACCAGTGACAACACCTTAGCTGTGCTTTTGCTTGCTCTTCCCATTGCAGATCTATATCTTAGGCGTGGCCAGGAAGTATGACCCCAAAATTTAATAGTGAAAAGGTTCTTAGCCTGTAGCTCACTTGGAAAAATGGTCTGTTGGACTCCAGACTGGCCCCAGGATACAGTTTGTTCTTGTCCTCTCTTTAAATTGCATATTCAAATTGAATATTAGTATATTTAATTTGTTCTAAGCTACTCATCTCCCATTAGGGAGAAAAGTGGCCAATAAATATACAGGTCTGCTAACTAAAATATACACACCTATTAGCACTGCAAGAATAGAGGAAAAAGAGATACAGTGCAGGTGCCTGTCTTTTTGCCCTCTATTATGACTAACCATAATTCTGGTTGTATGAGTGCGTGTGTTTTCTATCAATGAAAAGGAGGAGGAGGAGGAGGAGATTGGATTTATACCCCGCCCTTCACTTAGAGTCTCAGAGCAGCTTACAAACTCCTTTCCCCTCCCCTCCCCACAACAGACACCCTGTGAGGAAGGTGGGGCTGAGAGAGCTTAAGAAAACAGCTCTGACAGAACTATGGCTTGCCCAAGTTCATCCAGCAGCTGCAAGTGGAGGAGTGGGGAATCAAACTTGGTTCTCCCAGATTAGAGTCCGCACACTTAACCACTACACCAAACTGGCTCTGGAGGTGGGGAAAGGCTTAAATCCCTCCCACACCATTTGGTTCCAGTCCAAACTGAAGTCTCCTACCGTTGGTTTTTAATGCTAAAGAAAAGATTGGGGAGGTCCCATCACAAATATCCCACATAATGTGAGATTTAGCCTTCAGTGTTCTTTCTACAATCCTGCAATGTCAGATGGGGGAATGTAGAAAGGCTCTCCCTTGAAAGGAAATATCAAGGTTTTGGAGACCAGGACAGAGACTTCACAAATTTAACTGGGACAGATGGATCTCAGAGCAGGCTCCCATCTGCTGAGCATCAGCAAGCGGAGATTCATATGGGGGGCATACTCCCAAAGATCTGCTAGACCCAGGTCTTTTGGATTTTCACAGGCAATGACCCATGATTTCTTGGATATGCAGACAACTCCATGGTTCATAATTAACTAGACAGCTCACTTTATCACAAAAGGCATTTAATTATATTTTAAAAGGAAAGGAAACTCACAGTTCTCAAGAGGTGTAGGATTGGAAATGATGCTCTTGTCAATCATGTGCTCAGTTACCACTGATGAGAATTCAATATTGCCCACATTTAAAATGGCAGCAAGTATGCTGTACACGCTCCCTAGTTCCTGAAAGACAGATGCACAAAAAGATACGGCAATTATAGTCTTGTAATTGGTGCCTCGGGCTGCAAGCAGCATACTAACCTTTCTTCATTTTAATACTGAGAACGGGTGCCGAGGATCAGCATTTTACCACTGGCTGCATCCAATTTGCTTTAACCTCCCCTTACAGTACACTTTGAATGAGAAAATATTTAGACTGAATGTTACATGGTTGAAAGCCAAAACCATATGGCACACTGAAGTGATTAGTTAGAATAAAAGCAACATATTAAACTATCTCAACCCCCTCTAGGTAAATGGCCCAAGCTAACTCAGAAGCAAATTCCACTTTTTTGCTCCTAGATAAATGTGCATAGCTTTAGAATCTTTATCATTTAATAGCCACCTGGGGAGACAGGGCTCCAGTTGTGTACTCCAAAGCTGAGCTACACCTTTGCTTAGGATTGCACAGTAGGACTCTCATGGGTCTGAACGAAAGTGAATTCTCAGGACTACACAATAGATCCATGCCTGTGGTTCCATTCTGAACCCAGGTCTCCCACATCCAATTGTCTCAGCCCACTGAACCACATTAGCCTGAAGCAGATTTGCCTACTATGTAAGCTTCCAAGACCATCTTGACTGCCTATCAGCAGATGCTTTTGGGAAGCCAGCAGTCTTACCTAACTGGCCCCTAAAAAGCACCACTACGGTGTTCCTTGTGTCAGGTTACATTACAGTTATCTCTGTTTTGTCATCTGCTCTGAAGAGCTATATCGCCATTTTGAGTTATTTCAAAAGATGGTTTCAGGTGGGTAGCCATGTTGGTCTGCAGTAGAAAAGCAAGACTTAAGCCCAGCAGCACCTTAAAGACCAACAAGATGGTATATTATTCCAGGTAAATTAGCTAAAGTTTACCCTAACCTACCAAACGATTGTTGGAAATGTAAAAACGATGTTGGTTCATTTTTTCATATGTGGTGGACATGTGATAAAGTTAAAAATATTGGAGCTGGATACATGAAATGTTAAAAACTATTGTGCTTGATACATGAAATTTTGCAAAAAATGTTAAGAACTATTGTGCCTTATACACCAGAACTGTTTCTATTTAATATATCACCAGAGAACTATAAAAAGCAAGATTGTGACAGTGGCATATTGTGACAGCGGCAAGAATATTATATGCTAAACATTGGAGAAGAAGTGAAACTCCTTCAAAGGAAGAAGTTGTAAATAAAATATTGGAAACAGCAGAGATGGACAATTTAACTTCAATCTTGAGAGGAAATAACAATGAAGAATTTGAGGACACATGGTCAAGATTTTATAAATGGATAGAAGAACATAACGCATAAAAACTCCTAGACATACACCCAAAATAAAAAGAAATAAGAACTATATACTTAACTATGAGCAAAATATGTATATTAAAAGCATACAGTGGGAAAGATATAAACTTTTTGGTTACAGTTTGAGGTCAAATGACTATGTAAAAAAAATATACAAATGAATCTTCCCAAATGTGTATCTATGTAAGTCTGTCCAGTCTTTGTCTTATATGTATGAAATAAAAAAAAAAAACTTAAAAAAAAGACCAACAAGATCTCCAGGGTCTAAGTTTTCGAGAGTCAAAGTTCCCTTCACCAGAGACCAGACATATGACGAAGGGAGCTTTGACTCAAATCTTGCTTTTTAAATACAAAGTTTGTGTCCCCCCCATTTTGTGAATTTGGGCATCCTTTAGATAACCTCGTAGATAAAAATTTAATGTCAGCCTCCTATTTGCGTGTGTGTAAAATGTGTTAAGTTGCAGCTGGCTCATGGCAGCCCCAGCAAAAGGCTTTCAAGATATGTGAGAAGCAGAGGTGGTTTGCTATGGCCTTTGTCTACAAAGTCTTCCTTGGTGGTCTCTCATCCAAGTACCAGCCCTGCTTAGCTTCTAAGATCTGATGAGATCAGGCTGTACCATAATGCCTTCTCTCAGGCTCCTCTTTGCACGTAGCTTAATTTCGGGGATTAAGTTGGGACCAGGGATATTCTAGGTCCCAATTTAGCCACTTAAGCCAACAGGACATACCAAGTAGGCCAGCAATGTTTTGGGCTTGTGTCTCTGGAACAGATGTCCCCTAATGCTGTAGAGCAACTGATATTTGATGAGAATCTCTAAAAGATATTTACAGTGGGAGTGGTACATCTATCTATCGCACTTTTATTTATTTCTCTACAGAGCTGTATCTGGTCCTGCCTTCTGCCATTTTATCTTCATAAAAGCCCATGAGGTATGTTGGGCTGAGAGAGGGGGTGATTGGCCCAAGGTCCTGCAGACAACTTATGGCTGAGCAGGGGGGGGGGTTGTAGAAAAAGCCCAGCAGGAACTCATTAGCATAATAGGTCACACCCAACAGCAGAAACTCACTAGCATATTAGGCCACACCCCTGACAGCACAGCTCATTAGCATATTAAGCCACAACCCCATGTTACCAGAAGTGTGCTCATCCAGCCACACCCACCTTTTGCTCCTTATTCTGTTTACCTTGTTTGTTGTCAAAACCCAGGACTTTTTTTGTAGCAGGAACTCCTTTGCATGTTAGGCCACACACCCCTAATGTAGCCAATCCTAATGAGTTCCTGCTGTTGGGTGTGGCCTATTATGCTAATGAGTTCCTGCTGGGCGTGGCCAACTCAGGAGCCAGCCGGAACTCCGTTCCTGTGCGTTCCTGCCCAAAAATAGCCCTGGCTGAGAGTTGGGTCTCCACAGTCCTATTCTGAAAATCCAACTGCTGTTCCACCACTGGGCGCTGTGCTATTTACAGAAGAAAAGTAGGAGAAACTTCACAGGCTGAGTGGAAGCTCCTGGGCTAACCTTGTAGTGATCCCAGCCAAGCACTGTAATTTGTCTAGGCTGGGGTTACAAAACAAACAAAAAAAAAAAGAAAGGAAAGGAAATAGCACAATGTACCAAGTTCTAAAATTATTCTGGGCATTTCTGAAAAGATTGTGTTGACTTTTGTTATGACGCTGGGGTTATGTGCATTGGGACTGACATTTTTCATGCCCTTTTCCAGTAAGTGTTACATACGGCTCGATCTGTCTAGAATGGCATGATTAGTGTTTATCCCCAGCAGCACTTTTCATCCACTTTCCGTTTGCTGTGAAACCTTTAGTTTGCAGAAGGTGGGCAGTAATATATAGGCTGCATACTACGGGGATGTGCTGCTTTCTGTGTAAGAGAAAGGTTTCCCACAATGTTTAGGAGAATAAAGTTTGAGTCCAGTGGCACCTTTAAGACCAACAAAGTTTTAGGAGGTAATTTTATTTTGATTCCACAACAATGTTTTCTGCCCTGGATGCCTTCGAAATATGTCAAAACATAGGGAAAACTTAGGTCTGATGGGCAACTCCCCCCCCCCCCCAGGGATGAAGCTAAGGTGTTTTCCCTATGGCTAAAATGCGATTGTACCTAAATAAGCAGGGAGGGATTCTGACAATGAAGATGCAAAGTTCGCAGGTGTGACCACTGAGGGCATAAACAGATGTAACAAAAACCATAGATATTCATGGTCCTCTTTAAAGTCAAATTACAGGCATGCACAGCCTCAGTTCAGATCAAGGAGGAGAAAGAGGGGTTTAACACTTCAGCTACTGCTGGGTTTTGCTAATCAAAACTGACGTGTCCCTCCACTGTTATTGGCACTTCCAAGGGGAAAAAATGGGTTCTTAACGAATCATTGTTAGGTAGTAGAAGCTCATCTTCCTCTAGCCTTATTCTCTGGGAACTGGATAGTTCCCCAAACTATGTATGGAATATACAAGCTTCCCAACCAGCCAGCAACACTTAGCTACTTTTACCTACTGCACTGCCCCCCAACCTTTATTAGGCATTTGTTACAAACTCTAAACAATGTAACCAGGGGTCATTTTGTAGAAAAAGAGCTAGGGGAACTCATTAGCATATGCCACACCCCGACATCACCAGAAGTGTGTCATAAGGCCACACCCCCTGACATCACCGGAAGTGTGTCATAAGGCCACACCCCCTGATGTCACCGGAAGTGTGTCATAAGGCCACACACCCTGCCCCCAACGGTCGGCCTGCCCCGCGAAGGCCCTCCCTGGCCCCAGGCAGGCAGGGGTGGGGAGAGGCAGGGAGGAAGCAACTTACCCTCCCTCTTCTCCTGCCTCCTCCTGGCTGAATGAGGGCCGGAAGTGGGGCGGCCGGAAGCAGGGGGCAGGGCTTCATCATATGCCCCGCCCCCCGTACCTCACCCGGGGGAACTGCGATCCCCCGTGTTCCCCCGCGAAATGACCTCTGAATGTAACAGTGAATTGCCTAAAATTAATATCCAGCTTTGCTAACATCAAGATTATTATGTTTCTCTCTCTTTATTTCTACTCTCTGCCATACAAGGGACCATAGGGAGAGATCTGGGGTTTGTTTTATTTTTTGTTTTAAACTGAAAATAATTTTAACTATTATTATAAGCTGTCTTCAGCCAAAAGGTAAGGTGGATATAAATGTTTAAATAAACACTTGTGTTCTGATTTCTATTGATCTAATTAACGGCCCACTTTATATTTTCAACAGCAGTAGCCATCTGGAGGCTTCATAAGAACATAAGAGAAGCCAATGTTGGATCAGGCCAATGGCCCATCCAATTCCAACACTCTGTCACACAGTGGCCAAAAATACCAGGTGCCTTCAGGAGGTCCAGCAGTGGGGCCAGGACACTAGAAACCCTCCTGCTGTTGCCCCCCCCCCAGGACCAAGAATACAGAGCATCACTTGCCCCAGACTGAGAGTTCCTATCTCTACCTTGTGGCTAATAGCCACTGATGGACCTCTGCTCCATATGTTTATCCAATTTCCTCTTCAAGCCATTCATGCTTGTAGCCACCACCACCTCCTGTGGCAGTGAATTCCATGTGTTATTCACTCTTTGGGTGAAGAAGTACTTCCTTTTATTTGTTCTAACCCAACTGCTCAGCAATTTCATTGAGTGCCCACGAGTTCTAGTATTGTGAGAAAGGGAGAAAAGTACTTCTTTCTCAACCTGCTGTATCCCATGCATAATCTTGTAAACCTGAATCATGTCACCCCTCAGTCATCTTTTCTCCAAGCTAAAGAGCCCCAAGCGCTTTAACCTTTCTTTATAGGGAAAGTGTTCCAACTCTTTTATCATTCTAGTTGCCCTTTTTTGCACTTTTTACAATGCTATAATATCTTTTCTGTGGGGTGGTAACCAAAATTGCACACAGTATTCTTGTCCCAGGAGACTTTGCTGCAACTTGAAATCCAGTTTGTGCTTCTGTTGCCCTGACCTGGATAGCCCAGGCTAGCCCCATCAGATCTGGAAAGCTAAACCGGATCGGCACAAGTTAGTGCTTGTATGGGAGACCACCGAGGAAATCCAGAGTCATGATGCAGAGGCAGGCAATAGCAAACCACCTTTGAACATCTCTTGCCTTGAAAACCCTACAGGGTCACCATACGTCAACTGCAACTTGACAGCAAAAACCAAACAGAAACGTTGGATTTAGTTGGTGCCATCTAAGCTAAGTCCACATCACTTCCTGTACTCCACTACAAGACTTCAGTAAATGGCAGTCTTGGGGCTTTTTCGTCATGACCTGAAACACCCCCATCCCCCATTTTGTGTTCTGAATGAAGGGTTCTGATTAATTAGAGAGCTTGTTCACTGCTATGCATTTAAGGGGGGGAGATATTCCACGGCTGTTGTTTTGGGCATGGTTTCCTTATGGAATGCCCCTTGCTAAAGGACCAGCCTTACATCAACCTCAGGGGATCACCTCTAAAAAAAGTTGTACAAACAATGGATTTCAATAGGTTTCATTGGGATTCATACAAAAACAAAGCCATCCTGTAGAATCAATGGCGTGGGAGAAATGGCCCACAGGATCATTAACCCCAGTGGAACAAAACTGACTTATATCCCAGATCTCTGAAGCCATTGATCAGGCTCAGATCAGTACACTCCCAAGTGCTGCTGCCTTTGGGAAAACACTATAAAAAACTGTTCCTGATAACCTTCTGAAAGCTGTTAGATCAACCACTGCCAGCTAAATGGTGATAAATTAATAACAGTGAGTATTCCTCATTCCAAGCACCCTCCTTGGCAGTTTAGAGCAGTCTCAGGCTTTCTTTGGTAAACAAGTACTGTGTGTGTGTGTCTCCTTTGGACCTGCTCAACCAAAATTCAGTCATGAACTTGTCATCCACTGCAGCCGGTGCTACACTAACAAAGGCAGCTGAGCCTGGGAGTGGCACTTGCCATTTTCTATGGGAAAGCTGATCCAACAGCTCCAGAATGCAGTATTTTAAAGACCTACAAGCCTATACTCATTGCAAGACATTGCAAGAGATGTCCAGTAGACTGGTTCCAAGGAAATAAAAACAGCATTACATTTCAGTGACACTTCTTCCTTTAAAAACAAAGACTTGATATTCAGTACAGTAAGAGGGGGGCTGCGGTGGCTCAAGTGGGTAAGAAGGCTGTGTTAAGTGGACAGTTCGATTCTAATGATATCAATTCCAAAGCCCTGGTTTTACTAAAGCCTGGGGGGGGAATGATTGTGGTTCCACCTACATAGCACAGATATAGTTTTCTCCTTAAGATGCTCATTAGTTGTTACAACAGCACCCTGATTACTGACGATGCCAGCAGTAAAGGATGGTGAAACGTCTAGTGAGGTAAGTTTTTATCAATGAACATAGTCTAAAAGCCCAAAATTTTTAATTAAAATTGTTATGATGGAGGTTTGTGCGACTGAACAACAACAAATGTATTCAGTGAAACTCAGGGGTGTTAAGTATGAACAGGCCAGTTGAGAAAGGTGCTAACTGGTTCACACAATGATGCTTTCTTATATTATACTGTGTTTGCAACCCACAAATCTAAATTCAGTTTTACATGGCAGCCTGCCTGGGCTCAGCAAGCTGGGGAAAACAAACAAACCAACAAACAGGACTCTTGAGCATAACCAGTGGGTCACATTCATAACCAGTGGGTCACATTCAGCACAGTAGGTTCTAAGTACACTATTTTACAAAAGGAATAAAGTAATGCATGCTTATAACTATAAAGCTTACCTAACAACATCAATGTTTGCAGAATTTACTAATTCTTGTTTTGGTTGGAAATATGTGACAACCCTTTTAATTAAAGAAGAAGCTACGACTACCAGCACTCACCTCCATCGTAAAGCCAATCACTTTGAAGCACTGTTCAATTAATTCAAATTGGGACTTATAGAAACTATTGTTCATAAAATCTTGTACCGTTCTAAGGAGTTCATTCTGCAGATACCTAAAGGGGATGGAGGGAGAGAGAAAGTGAAAATTCAAGGGAGGTGCAGAACAAATCTTTAGTCTACGGTTTAAAAGGTTCATTCTAGGCAAGAGGCCCCATTTATATATTTACTCGGGTTTATGTGAAAACGCTCAGCAGGATACCAACATAAACACAATAGAAACAGAATGTTACCTGGGAGGCTTATTTTCTGGTAATTTATAATGTGCTAGTTTCTTCTTCTCTGCCAAACCAGCATAGATGTAGTAAAAAATGTGGAAATTCTTCTCACCTCTGAAATAACAAAAACTTAATATGGCAGGGATTACAATGAAATCAAAACTAGACCAAGAACATCCAGTTCCTACTCCTGCGATACTATTCAGAAATCCATGGAGGAAGTACTAACTTGCACAGAAAATTTTATGTCTTGTCTATAAGCATCTGACCGTGCTGTCCTAGGCAGAGTCACACTCTTCTTTGCCCGGTGACTTCAACAGCTTAGAACTACTCAGTGGGAGAGGCAGCAGCTGGGGCTGCCACACTGAAATGTGGACTGTGAGATAAGAAAGACTGAGGGCTGTTAGGGTTTTGTTGTTGTTCCCACAATGCATCACTGTAAGCACGCTGAGGGCTGTTAGGGTTTTGTTGTTGTTGTTCCCACAATACATCACTGTAAGCATGTTTAATGGAACTGTGATGTAGTAATAGGTAATAATCATAATGATGATATCTATTGCAAGGTAAGAGAGCAACGCTATGCTTACCCTGAACACTGAGAATGCCTGTCTCACTTCTGGATGCGTCAGAGAGCTGTGCATTGGATAAAACATTTGGATAGGGCTCACAAGCAGAAATTCAATTGCAGCCCAACTGAGGAGATTAATAACTCATAGAAAACTCAATAAATCATCTCCTCAGCTGGGCTACATCCTAATTTCTACTTAGAAGCCCTATTCAAACATTCTATTCATTGCACAGATATCTGGTGGGTCCAGATGTGGGACAGGCAGGCCTATGCAAAATAACCCTTCATAACTTCCATAACTAATATGTAGATGTCTGGTGGCTCCAGAAGTGGAACAGGCTGACTCAGTCTCCCCCTCCCCTCCCCACATTTACCTTGTACCACACATCCGCTCTCTTCATTGGAAAAGACCCACTGTTCCCCCTTCTACTTACACAGCTTGATGGATGACTCTGGACTTTTCTAGGAGATACTCTGAAATCTGAGCACTCACAACTGTTCCACTGGAAGTGAACTTCATTTCTAGATACTTCCCAAATCTGCTGGAATTGTCATTAATTATAGTGCCCGCATTTCCAAAAGCCTCCACCAGATTATTGACTTGAAGAATCTTTTCTTGAAGTGTCCTGTTATTAGCCTACATTAAAAAACAGAAGCTTTCAAAAATGCGGTTTCTCAGAATAACTGATAAAAGTGTTCTCTCTCAGTGTGATATACTTATTACTATTTTCTTATTCAGGGATCACAATATCCTCTCTCATGACAAACATGATTCCTTTCGTAATGATGATAACACAATTATTTGAATCCTCCTCAGCCTAAGAAACACAGTGTCACACAACATTCAGGGATCTCATTACATCTAAGGACATTATATCTAACTAGGAAAAAGGCCCGTTGTGGAAATAAATACAACAGCCTCTAGAAAGAGGCTCTGGGCGGGTGCCCCAGCCTTGGATACTCAGTGTCAATTTGCTGTGGCAACCTCAGCAGGGTATAATGACACTGAGTCCACCATTTTCTCCAGAGGAACTGATATCTGCTACCTAAAGAACAGTTGTAATTTTGAGTGATCTCCAGCCCTCACCTGGAGATTGGCAATGATGGTTCCCCAGAAGGGAATAGTTGCTTTGGAGGGTGGAGTCTATGGCTTTGTACCTGTCCGAGGTCCCACGCCTCCTGAAACCTCACCCTCTCCAGGCTCCATCCCTCACATCTCCAGGAATTTCCCACCTGGAGTTGGCAACCCTATCTCCTTCCCAGCCAATCATCAACCTACCTTTATTTCCTCCTCACTCTTCAGCTTTCCACCCCCCCACACACCTGCAGCCTCTCCCGTGTTCTGAAGCCCTGACTGCTACGTCACATTGGCTGTCATACGGGGGCCACCTCAGCAGCATATAAGGATACAGAGCCCACCATTTTCTCCAGGGGAACTGATCTCTGCCATCTGGAAAGCAGTTGTAATTCTGAGTGATCTCCAGTCCTCACCTGGAGATTGGACACATTTTACCTCAGAACAGCAAAACTGTTTAGAATGTTAGAGGCAAAAGCCAATCAAGTCGCATATGCAAACAACCTCTGTGTTCCGAGGCAAAGGCCAATGAGGCTGCATATGCAAATAACCTCTGTATTCTGGCTATTGGGGGGGGAGGGGGAGGAACAGCAAACTGTTTAGAATGTTGGAGGCGAGACTCAAGCAATGCAGCCAGTGGATAGGGACAGATTCTGAGTGACACACCAGGGCGCCAACCAATTCCAGAGCGCGTGGAATGTTCTAGAGAAGTGCCACCACCATTCGGCTTTTATAAGGGAGGTAGCAGTTGAAGGAAAGGGAAAGGCAACTGTAATAATACAATGTTGAAATTATGAATAGGTAATCTTTACTATTCTAATCTTTGTCCTTTGGATTCCAGCATTAGAAAAGAACAAGAGTCCAGTGGCACCTTAAAGTGGCAGGGTATAAGCTTTCTTGAGTCACTGCTCACTTCTTCAGATACAGCTAGAATCTGACATTGTAGCTGTATCTGAAGAAGTGAGCAGTGACTCAAACCACGGGCAGGCAGGTCAGGTGCTAAGGAAACTCCAGGTCAAATACCTACTGGAAGGCACAGTCTCAGCAGCCAGACTTAAATCAAAGATTGACACCTTTTGTTAGACACATTTACCAAAATGCTAAGCCTCACACCTCCCGTATTACTTCCACTGGTGAGATACTAGAGTGAGCAAGGGCCTGATACTTGAGGCAGTTAGGGGACCTTTCTTGTTCCCATAGCTAATGTTTTACTAGGAAACCTCTATTGCCTATGCACAGAAACAGTGGATCTTTCCGCTAATCCATCTTATACTGGGCAGAGACTAGAACACCAGCTGGGAAACACAACATAGAGTTTGCATGGCAAGAAAGTCTACTATTTTAGAAGAGAAGAAGAGATTGGATTTATACCCCATCCTTCACTACCCAAAGGAGTCTCAAAGCGGCTTACAAACTCCTTTCCCTTCCCCTCCCCACAACAGACACCCTATGATGAAGGCAGGTGGCAACTAATACATCTTTAGGGTGGTCTCTAGTAAAAAAAAGAAGAAAAGAAAAGACATAGGCCCCATATAGGTCAGAGAAGCCCTATTTTCCTGCCAAAAACCAGGCATGATTCTTGCTTCCTAATATCAGAAGATCTTGAGCCCAGTCTTCTGACACAGGTGCACAGTGGCCAACCCATACCTGACCTCTTGTCTTTACAGCACAAGAAATATTATAAAATCAAAAGCAAATGCAGCAGAATTAAAGAAAGAACAGTAAAAATGCAATCTAGGTCTTACAACCTTGTATTGGAAAACCATGGCAGAATTGCTTGGTTCTAAATTAACTCTGCAATGAAATTGTTCAGTTTAGTTTAGTTTGATTTCTCTCCTGCTCCATTTCCTGCAAGCAGAACTCAGGGCAGCATGCAACAAATAACAATAACAAAATACATACAGTCCAATTAAAGTCAGATGGTGTCACACGTCTCACCCACAAATATCTGAGGTGGCTGGCATACAATCCATATTCTACTCATGAGGGTGAGTAGAAAATAAAGGAGACTCCAGGAGGCCACTGATCTCTCTAACCGTTTCTGTCCTCAACCATATGCTCTGAGGAACTGAGCCAAGTAAGCAAATGAGAGAAAATTCCACAGTATCAGAACAACTGTCAAAAAGGTCTGCACCTGGTAGAGAACAACCTTGCTTCTGCATGGAATGGAGCTTAAAACATGGCCCAACTTGGCTGCTCGTGAGGAGCAGGAGGGTTCATATGACCAGGTACAAGGGGAGCTGTTATGGCACATGAACCACAGGAGGATTAATGGAGGCAAAAGAAAAATCTAAAACGGGGTTAGGAATAGTCTTACTCTAAAACATACCCTTCCAAGAATCGTAAGCTGCTGACCCAGAAGATGGGCACTTTGGGTCTTCCCTGCTCCACTTTCTCCAGAAATGACAATACACTGAAGGCGAAGAGCAGAAGAGAGTTCATGATAATCATATTTCTTAAACAGTCAAGAGAAGTACCAAATTGGGCTCCGTAGACCAGTGTAATTACCTGATCTGAGTTGTACGTGACCATGGACTGGTATGCAATGTCAGCGATAGCAAAAATGTGAGGTGGATTTGCTGTCCGTTTGGCCCCGATGTACAGTTTGGAATGCTGAAGGTGGAAGCACAAAATATTGTTTGTATTATTCTTTTATGCTATACTGTTGTGTTTTCTTGTGTTTCTAGCCATATTTGACTGGCTTTAGCCTAGTAAGGCCTAACCAGTAGTCAGGCAGTGTTGGCCCTGGACAAAATGGCACCCCAGGTAAGGAGAGGGTCTTTTAGTGTCCTCCTCCATTTTATTCAACACTCCTCCCTTTATTTTGATTGGACTTCATAGCCTATGTCACAGTTTTGATGACTGACTGCCACACATGACTTACCCCTACAATCTGTGAGTGTACTCAGGCCATAATATCAGTAAATATAAACCAAATGTGTTTCCTCTCTGCTTATAGAAGATCTTCAAATTTAAAGGGTAAGTGAAATGTACTAATATCAAAAACTGAACTATGTGCTGTGTGGGCCACTATCAAATATGTTACAGTAGGGGAAGGCTTAGAATATTAATACTAAGCCTCCGAACCACTTGTTTCCGTTGCTGGGTTACTAGGTGATAGTCTATGCTAGGTGTCTATCAAACCCAGTGCCCCTCCCCAATATCCAAAGCCACAGGTGCTTGACCAGGTCACTTGACCCTACATCCAGCCCTGTACTATATTTTACATGATATAATAATACAGATGCTGCTGAGAAACATTTCATATTACACATATGAAAGTAACATGTATGGTACCGGTAACTAGCATCAGTATCTGCAGCCTATTGGGATCAGCCTATAGTGGTCACGAATACCAACATGCATGTTAGAGCAGTAAGAGGACTACCCAGATCCCCCAATCCAGCAAAATACACTATTTACTGGACACAGCAGTGTGTAACTCTGCTTACAATAGCCCTGCAAAGCAGACTTCTACATATGCATCAAATTCGGCTGCCAGGCACATCCAGGATCCAATGAACCTAGCAGATGGGTCTTTTGATGTAAGGATGGACTATGACACTAGTGGCCGTGTGCAACTAAAGGAGGACTGCAGCTTTACTTCTAAGTGACTAGGATACAGGTACATGCTAAAAGATAAAATGTAGAACAGAGGGTAGGAAGCAAGAGGACTACAAGTCACATCTTCATATCATTTACCAAAGAGCATCCAGTTTGAAATTACGGCAAGCAAATTTATTTTCACACCTTTGTAGAATAAAGGTCTAAGTTTCGAAAAGGATTGATTGCAATGAGAATATCTCCCACGTAGGCATATATCTGGTCCCTGGCGTAGCTCTTCTGCAGTTGCTCTGTTACTGTATTCTGTTTTTTAAAACAAAGAGGGAAGAGTCTACTATTATTAGAAATTTTGACAATATTAAGTACCTCCTGCATGCTGTGAATGGGGAAACTCATGCTGAAGTCTGGTCTTGGTGTCTTCAGCTTCCAGGTTAGCACACTGTGTATCACCCCACACCAGGGATAGGCAACCATTTTTGGCCCAAGTACCTTACCTCATCTAGTACTTCCAACATTGCCAAATCATCTACATCTTCCTGATTTGCCACAGGAGACCTGTTATAATTCCCCTTCTTGGTATGAATACGCTCAAATCTGTAAAAAATTGAGAGTGA